CAAGACTTTCTGATGCTACAGTACATGACCACTTCGCAAGCCAACAGGAAAGCACGAGTTGACAAGGTCTCTCTCTGTCAATCGTTTGGCATCCCAACCCACATCTCTTTTCACCAAAATGCCGTCGCTGGCGTTCACCCAGGACTGCAGATGCTCAGCAGCGGCAGATCTAGCTCAGCCTTGTAGATTGCCAAGCCACGATACACTCAGTCGTTGTTCCTTGAGCAGGATGATTTTCACATGCTTCGGCCTTCCGCAGGAGCCACCAATGACATATTACAGTGGGTCTAGTCCGGAACTGAGGAAAGAATACAACAAAACTGTGAGCGGCACCAACGGTACCTGCATAATGACGTCCGCAGCTGTAATATTTACTCACTTCCATGGGGAACGGTTTCATTATATCTCGAGAAATCCATCCTCTCTTCTACTTACCGTCCTCGTCCCCGATCCGTAACAAGACATTGTCCGGAGCGGCTCTCACTAACCATGGCCTTCAGTCCTCTATTCTGGCTCTACGCCATACTTCAATGGGTTCTCGATAAGATATTCTCACCACACCCACCACCTCCGAATGCACACCTCCGCCGTCCTAAAATTGCGGTTATTGGTGCCGGTCTTACCGGCGTCTCCGCAGCGGCTCACTGTGTTGGCCATGGATTTGAAGTAACTATATTTGAAGCCGAAGACGAAAAGCATGTGGGCGGGATATGGACGCACGTAAACACGACTTCTGGTCTCCAAATCCACAGTGTCATGTATCGATTTCATCCTTCCGTTCAATGGACGGGAGGATATCCTCAGCAACACCAAATCGTCGATCAAGTCCGGCAGTTGTGGTACAGATATGAACTCAACCAAAGGACGATCTTCAATACAAAGGTCGAGAAAATTTACAAAGACAAGGGAGGCCGCTGGATCGTCAACAATCCTGCGAATGGACGTTTCGATGGAATCATACCGGCAGTTGGAACATGCGGTGCTCCAAAAATGGCTCACCTGCCTGGCCAAGAGACCTTCAAAGGAGACATTATTCACTCCTCGGCCCTCGACGGCAAAGAGGCACAAGGAAAGAGTATCCTCATCGTTGGAGGCGGCGCGAGTGCTGTCGAAGCGTTGGAGTGGGCTGTCAACACAGGAGCTGCGGAAATCAAAGTGCTGGCAAGATCTGACAAGTGGATCATTCCGAGGAATGCCCTGGTGGATGCACTCCTTGCCTTCAACATATTCGGTCAGGAGACACTGTTCTCGTGGATTCCCGAGAATCTGCTGCGCATCTTTTTCTACCGCGACCTCAGAGATATAGCACCAGCAGATCAAGGTCTTTTCACCGAGACCCCCATGGTAAATTCGGAGATCTTCAAGCAGATTCGTGCCGGCAAAGCAGCTTGGCTACGAGGGGATATTGAGGAGGTCCGCGAAAATGGTATCTTTTTCAACCAAAGGGCAAAGGGTGTTCCCAAAGGAGGACCCGGGCGACATAAACTGGTTGAGGGAGATATGATCATCATGGCGACCGGCTACAAGCGTCCAAGTCTTGACTTTTTGCCTGACGATGTCTTTGCCGATGGCTACCAACCTCCACGATGGTTCATACAATGCTTTCCTCCGACGGCTCCTTCAATTTGTGCGATTAATTCGACCTATGTTTCGGCCATCGGGTAAGTGAGGTCTGATCTGTCATGGTGGCAAAGAAGCTAACTCGTCCTCCCAGAACTGTCGGCAATTATCATATTGGAATCTACACACGAATGCTGCTGATGTTTCTAGTCGACCCTCTGACAACTCCCCGGACTTGGTGGATGAAGCGATGGGTGGACTTTACCAGTACGATCAAGTCGCTAGCTCCAACCAAAGCATTCGACTTCTTCACTTACTCTGAGCTGCTCTACTGGTTCTGCTTCATCACGCTGATCAACCCCTTTCGATGGAAGTGGGCGCTTTTCGTGTTCTTCGGGATTGGGAAGAACTTGCCTGCCAGTATTGTGCAGCAAGAAGACAAACTGAGGAATGGGTTGGGATTTGGCAAAGATGGCCACTATCAGTACTAGTGCTAGACTTTATCTTTGGGTTCTACAACATAAACCAATGCGCGCGTCGTAGTAAAAGACTTCAAGGTGGACGGTTTATCCTTGCTACAACTCCTAGTTCTTGAGACACTTGACGTTGACGTTGCCATGCTTGAGTATTCCCATCTGTTGATAAATACCTAGTACTTAGTCCTAATAATCCTAGTGTAACCTTGCAGTCTGAAAACTCGGATGAGCAGGGGAACCCTGGTGGGACACCAAATGGAGGCCTTCTGGGAGTAAAGGTGGTTCTTTATGATAGAATGACGTCAGGAGTTTCCAGAATTTCCTGCCGAACCATCCACGTTCCTTCCTGGATAATTAAGTACTTCTCGTACTAGTAATGCATTATTTCGTGATATTAACACGTCAAACCCTATGTAGTGACTTCAAGTTTATCAAATCATTTTCCCAACCCGACCTAAAATAAGTCCTTGTCAACAATAGCGAGAGCTCTTCCATTCCACTACAGTTCAACGCCCGCTATCATGGACGATCCGGGTATGGCAGTCGGAACAACCATTAAACAATGCCTCGAAAAGCTAACTAAACGTTCGTGAATATAGTGGCAGATATCCCTCGTATCATCGAGACACTCTGTACAGCTCCACCGGCTATTCAAAGGGCAGCAATTGAGATCTACTTCACACCGACCGCATCATTCACACATCCTTTTTGTCGAACGGGGAGTTTTCCTGGGTCAATATGGCTCATAATAATGATTTACCGCTGGTACAAAATCCTCAGTCCCCACATTGATGTTGCCGTTGACGGAGTTGGTACGTGACGCCTACAACATAGCAACATCTTTTTAGAGCTGTACTAATGAGGACCAGCATACGACGAAAGACACCTGCGTCTATATGTCTCTATTCATCAGAACTTTAAGCTCTGGGTGGTCCCTTTCTACAATGCTCCCGTCAAACTCGTCACTGTCCTCCAGTTGACCACCGATCCTAGTCCAGTACCGCCTGAACCTAAAGAGGCCATCACCATGACCGAACTTGACAATGAGAGAGACGCGCCAGGCTCTGCCAGTGTCAAATTTCGCAAAGAGGCCGACGTCGACAACGACGAAGTCAAGTACTACATTCAGTCGCAGAACGACTTGTATCAGACTACAGAATTCATCAAATTCCTTGTGCCCTGGGGGATCGGGGTGTTTTTGGTTATTACCTGGCAATTCTGCGCAACAGTGCTCTGTGTGATTGGTGCAAAGTCCTACGATTTCTTGCTCTGGGTGCCGCAGAAGCTCTACCGCCAGACCATTGAGGTTTTTGATGACGACGAGAAAGCACACCCACATCTTGGAGCCGATTGAACGGGTCAGAGGAGCTTTTTTAAACACTAGTATTCGAAGGATGGAAAGTCAAATTCAAATAGAGAGGGAGAGTATAGAGACTCTACCTTATCATGATACCCCCAGCAGGATGCTGGTTGCTAGTTCTGGAGAACGGCGCTTTAGGGTAGTACTTGCTCGAATTTGGGCTCCCTCATCGTCTGAGGCTACTAGCATCTACAAATGAGATTTGCCAAATTGGCGATATGCCTGAGCGCCAGTCGATCTGAACTCGCATGATGACCCTTGAAGGTACTACTTCAGTGGTGAAGGGTTGGCTCCTAGTAGTAGTACTAGTATACCGCCTCAATGCGGAATGCAGGCGTTGTCCGTTTCAAGTGCACTTTACATCAAATTATGATCATCACCGTACCTGCTTCTTGGATTTTTCACCAACACAAAGAAGGTCTTGCAAGAGCGTCACTGTGTGTCCAATTCGAGTTTGGTGGCATACCGAGCATCTACTATCGGCTGGACTCTGTTTGTGCCGCTGAGAACCCTTAAACAAGTCACGATTTTCGCCCAAAGTGGTAATCTGCACAGCTGGCTTTTCCGATACCGGTCACGTGATCATATCTGTTCCAATCTAGAGCCTTGGACATTGGCTGGCACTGTCGGCCACACATATAGAGTATTGTCCCGTTTCTTCTACTCACCCACTTATGACTACTACACAGCCTTTACGTCGGAATGGCTGTAATGTCCTCATTGAATAAGTCTCTATCCGACGCATCTGATCAGTTCACATATATATACAAGGTGTGGAGACTCCGTTGGTAGTCGCAATAAAGGTAAAATAGTATATGTTCCTGGTATATCTAGATCCATTATATATACTCCGAACTGTACTTTGTCCCTTATTATTTTCGTTTAGGAAAGGGAGCGAGGCCACTTTACCCGGGCACGTGATAGATGCCCGGCTAGGTACGGGAGGAACGTATTATGCCCATAGCCTCCAAATAGGGTAAACTGCTAAAACCTTTTTATACCGTTGGATTCTTGCTCGCTACTATACCACTTTTAGTTCACGCCTCCATATACCTCGCTGCTTCCTTACCCAAACCAAATCCATGGCTGATTCTGTATTCTGTCTGCTAAAGAGGTTGAATTCAAAGGCCAAATCACTTGAGCAGGAACTCCGGCTTGACACGGTTAAAAAAACCATGTATTGAAGTGACCGAAGCTAGGCCATCGTACTCAGTCTTTACAGAGTTGGTTTCACAACGGTCTTTGCAAAGACCACCTCCGACGGAGTTTTCTGGAGTTGTGATGCCTCCGAGAGGCCGTTGAACACTTGGACTAGTACCCAAAACGGCGTGTTCCCAGATCTGCGGAGAATGTGGTAGTACCGAGATGATCGTGCTCGTAGCTGATCCTAGAAACTCCTTGAAATTGACAGGGATGAACCGAGGTTTGAAAGCTAAGCAATTTGTGGTATATCTCGCAAGTAATCCGAGTTCAAAAAGAGCCCCTCGAGGGGGGATAGAATCATTTCCCGACTCAATGTTGAATTCGAATCCATTCAAGCTCGTCCTTCTTCAATAGTACTATTCGGGGGACCAGCAGCATATTTCATATTTCCTTCATCCAGTATGACCACCGACTTGGCATTCAATCATTTTCTCTCAATACCGTGGTGTCGAGTGCACCTGTCCGATAAAGCTTTTCAGCCTCTCCACCAAGAACGATCTGCCCGACCGGACAACGCGCACACTCTTTTTGGCGAGACATGGCACACGGACAATACGATACCGTACATGCTTATGCTGTACCGACCACCGTGTGAGGAGAAAGGCCAGACGGGTGAAATGCGTGGATTCTTCACTGTGGGTACCGGTTTGAACCAGCACCCCAATATCTTTCACGGAGGAGCCACCGCCACAATACTAGACAGTGCGGTAGGGGCTCTCGTGCGAACTGAGCTGCCCAACACGATCCCATCATACACGGTTGTTCTGAATGTAACCTACAAAAAAGCTTTACGACCTCCGATGACTATCATGACCCGTTCTTGGGTCACCAAGGTCGAGGGTAGAAAAACTTGGGCCCACGCTCAGGTCGAAGGCGGTACTGGCGAGATATATGCAACTGCCGAAGTGATGATGGTTTCTGCCAAGGCGAAATTATAGCAGGACTATGTACATCGATATTCTGCTGACGGTCACAGATAGAAGATATCCCTACACAAACATATTTAATAACAGAAATTTCAGGCTCAAAGGGGCTGGTGTGAGTTGCTTCGATGGTAACAATTCAGAACGCCGAGAAATTCGGCTCGGTGGTTTGATTATAATATCGCAGCTGGATCAACCTAGGTCAACGAGCGGTTGGGCGCCAGGATCTCCTCCTCGCTCACCAAGGACATGGAAGCTCCCATGTCCCGTACGAAGCCGAGCCGGTTGTAGCTACCTCTTGCCTTGGCGATGTTGAATATGCCAAATTTCCTCCCTTGTCTACAAAGTCCGAGCCGTCGACGACAAGACTCCACGGCATTGCATTTTGAATTACCTTAGTTAGAAGAGTCACACATGGAAGAAGATCGGACTACTTGTATCTCAATAGTTCTCCCTAACTTACCCAGAATAGAATGAATGAAATTTTTAACGGAGGGGAAGGCACGTCAGTTTTCTTTCGTCGAGAATATATGTGCTCATCTTTGAAGAGGACTCGCTCGAAGTAAGGCTCTACTGTCCCCGCGTACAACTATCGTCCCATCGTTTCCTCTAGCTCTTGCCACCAGCTCCTCTTGAAAATGGGCACGCTCCTCTATCAGATTGGCGTAGGAGGTCTATTGTGATGTCCATTTCCTTCATGCCTTTGCCTTCTTGAGCCACTGGACCAACGTTGCCAATGTCGTATCCTTCAGCGCGGAATTTCTTCGGGTCCGTTTGGCGCGGGTGGGAAGCTCTGAGATACCATGGCTCCAAATATCGGTGCCTGAAATTGTACAACTTGGTACCAGGGTGGGGTTTCTCGGCGAGACGTCTGTGCACTTTTGACGGAGCCCTTGGTAGGCTGAGATATCTCAGGAAAAAGCGGCGAAGCGTGCTGAAAGACCGCATGTAAGACGCAATGAGAAGATTCGGCTCCGGCAATCTTTGACTTTGATGAGCACCACCAGATCAGAATTCAAGAAAAAAGTAGAATGAGGCCACTTACCCCATGCTTCGTCGCATTGTCGGGTCAATGTCTACCGCAAGCATCTGCTTGATCAATGGTTTCACGACCGAGGGAAGCTTGCCGGCCTTGGTCTCAAAATAGTTGTTCACAAACGCCGAGTTGTTGGGAGTGTTGATTGCGACCTTTGCCTCATAGGCGAGAGTCCAAGCTATCGTTTCTCGCGCGAAATGCAGACCATTCTCCCATCCTTCCTCGCACGAAGGCAGCATCGTGTACGGGATTTCCATCGCCTTCCCGAGCGCCTTATGCCAGACACCCAGGGCACAAACTTCCACGTCATTCAGTCTTCGCCATTCATAGTCGTTGACCCACCGGACGATCTCGGCGAGCCCATCACCTAGGGTATGTAGCATGTCTTCGTCGAGTATCTTCCCCGTAGCACGGTAGCGGGCGTGAAGATAGTTTATTCGGGCAATCGCTTGGAAATGGCGATCCGACGTCACTGGATTGGTTTGAGTTTCCAAAAGGAGAATGTTGGTGTCGACCGCGCGCTTCGTGGCATTCTTGGGATTGTTTTGGCCGGTTGCCATGAAGAGTTTTGTCATTGTCGGGATCCCACCCGTCTACGAAACCCCATGTCAGTATGCAATGGTGGACGCGATCACGGTGGCAGGACTGAAAAAAAGACACCTACCTTTAGTTAAAGCGATAAGCCCGGGCCTTGTCGAACGCTGTTGGAAATTCCGA